TTGCTGCTTTATTTTATTTTATTTTATTTTATTTTTTTGAGTTGGAGTCTCCCTCCGTCGCCCAGACTGGAGTGCAGTGGCCGCCCCCAGCCACCACAGCCTCAACCTGCTGGGCTCCAGTGATCCTTCTGCTTCAGCCTTCCAAGCAGCTGGAACTACAGGTGCGCACTTCCAGGCACACGCTACCATACACCCGGCTGATTTTTGATTTATTGTAGAGATGAGGTCTCGCCAAGTTGTTCAGGCGGGTCTCGAACCTGCGGGTTCAGGCAATCCACTCACCTCAGCCTCCCAAAGGAGCGGGATTACAGGCTGAGCAACCGAGCCCAACTAGTTTGGATTATTTAATCTGATTTTCTGTAGAAGGATGGTAGTCAGAGTCATTATCAGTAAACCACTGTACTTTCTTTTCATTTGATTGTTAATACAAGTTACTTTGGGTCTTGGTGTTTATTTATTTAGGCCTTCTCAGATGTTTCCTAAGGCAGGTAGTGAGTCAGTTGACATGCAAGTTGGGTTTAACCATTTTCTTTTCTCTAGGATGTCTTAGAAGAATGTGTGTCTCTTCCCAAGCTGTCTCCTTACTCTGGATGGGTGGTAGATCATGTCCTACCCCACACACGGGACAACCCACCTCCCTCTGAGATGTCACCATCCTCTAGGCCTACGTCAGCCCTAGACCAGCCCTTGTTCGTGCCTAAATCTCCCACCAGAAGCTCTGCCTTCTTACCAGCCTCCCCTGAAACACCAAATGGAGCCCAGGTAAGGTTTTACTCAGTTTAAGATAAACGGCATGCAAGTGGAAGTGTTTAATATTGTCATATGACAACAAAAACTCTGGGGAAAATAATGACTGCTTTTCGTTGCAGCTTTTTGTAGGGACAGTGTTGACCATATCACTTGGTGTCTCTTTGTGAAGATCCAGAGGGAAATATTCTTCTCTAGTCTTAGTTCCAAGATTAGTGTAATTAATTTCATGAGCAAAGCCATGGACAGTGGCTCACGCCTGTAATCCCAGCACTTTGGGAGGCTGAGGTGAGAGGATTGCCTGAGCCCAGGGGTTTGAGACCAGCCTGGGCAACTTGGCTGGACCTCGTCTCTACAATAAATCAAAGAATTAGCTGGGCATGGTGGTATGTGCCTGTGGTTCCAGCTACTTGGAAGGCTGAGGTGGAAGGATCGCCTGAGCCCAGCAGGCCGAGGCTGGAGTAGCCATTGGTGTGCTGCCTCTGCCCTCCAGCCTGAACGACAGAGTGAAAGTCTGACTCAAAAAAAAAAAAAAAAATTTCATGAGCAGTTGGATTGATTTTTTTTCTCATGAGCACTGTGTCTGGTTAACTGATAAGGTCTCCCTATTTGTGTTGTTTACTGGAAGAAGACTTAAAGTGTATGCCTGCTCTTGAAGTGTACACATCTTATCCTTGGTTCTGTGTGAATTTTTACCCTATTTCTGGCTGTTTTGTCCCCACTTTTGTTTTGCTGTTCTTTGCTTCTCCCACTTAAAAATAGTTAAATTGACTGGGCATGGTGCCTTTGGGAGGCCAGGGAGAGAGGATTATTTGAGCCTAGGAGTTTGAGACTAGCCCTGGCAATATAGCAAGACCTCGTCTCTACAAAAATTGAAAAAAATTAGCCAGGTATGGTAGCATGTGCCTGTATTCTCAGCTACTCAGGAGGCTGAGGCAGAAGGATTGCCTGAGCCCTGGAGGTCGAGGCTACAATAGCCATGAGTGTGCTGCTGCACTCCAGCCTGGGCGACAGACAGAGTAAGAGCACAACTAAAAAATAAAGTGGAAATTGCAATTCCTATGTTTATTTTCTGAAAGACAGTTCCTTGTGTCTTTTTGTCCTTCCCCAATATAAATTTTTGTTTATTGAATAAGCATAATCATAACACCCAAACAAAAATTTAAATCTCTCTATGATTTGGTCATTTCAGTCAACAATTTCTTCTTTACAATCTCATATACCTGCATATTTTCACCTAGGCATATTCAGATTGTATGTACACTTTCTTTTTGGGGGGGGGATTGGAGTCTCACTCTGTCGCCCAGGCTGAAGTGCAGTGGCATGCTCATGGCCATCGTAGCCTCGACCTGCTGGGCTCAGGCGATCCTTCTGCCTCAGCCTTCCAAGAAGCTGGAACTACAGGTGTGTGCTACCACGCCCAGCTAATTTTTGATTTATTGTAGAGATGATTTCTCACCAAGTTGCCCAGGGTCTCAAACCCGCGGGCTCAAGCAATCCACTCACCTCAGCCTCCCAAAGGCACGGGATTGCAGGCTGAGCCACCGAACCCAGCTTCATTTCACCATTTTTAAGTGTACAATTCAGTGACATTAAGTCCATTCACAGTCTTATACTGTTACATTGCTATTCATCTCCACAACTTTTTCATTATCCCAAACTGAAACTGTAGCCATTGAGTAATAACTCCCATTCCCCTTTCTCCAGCTGCTGGCAACCATCATTCTACTTCCTGTCTTTAAGAATTTACCCACTCTAGGTGTCTCATATAAGTGGAATCATTCAGTATTTGTCCTTTGGGGATTAGTTTATTTAACTTAGCATAATGTCTTCAAGGTTTATCCATATTGTACTATGTGTCAGAAATTCCTTTCTTTTTTGTGTGTGTGAATCAGGGTCTTACTCTATTGCCTGGACTGGAGTGCCGTGACACAATCACTGGTCATCGAAGCCTCAAATTCCTGGTCTCAAGTGATCTCCTGCTTTAGCCTCCTGAGTTGCTGGGATTACAAGTGCCTGCCATCACACCTGAGTAATTTTTTTTTTTTTTTTTTTTTGAGTTGGAGTCTCAATCTGTCGCCCAGGCTGGAGAGCAGTGACATGCTTACAGTCACTGCAGCCTCAACTTGCTGGGCTTAGGTGATCCTTGCATCTCAGCCTTCCAAGTAGTTGGGACTACAGATGTATGCCACCACCCCCGGCTTTTGTGTGTGTGTGTGTGTGTGTGTGTGTGTGTGTGTGTGTGGTTTTTATAGAGATGAGGTCTCACTATGTCACCCAGACTGATCTTGAACTCCTGAATCAAACAATCCTCCCACATTATCCTCCCAAAGTGCTGGGATTACAGGCTGAGCTACCGAGCCCGGCCTCCTTTCTTTTTAAGCCTGAATATTCTGTTGTATTTATATACTACATTTTGTTTATCCCTTCATCTGTGGATGGACACTTGAGTTTTTTTTGTTGCTTTCCTTTGGGCTATTGTGAATAATGCTGCTATGAGCATGAGTATACATTTGTTAGTTTGAATATCTGTTTTCAGTTCTTTTGGGTGTGGAAGTGAAATTGCTGGACCATATGCCAATCCTATTTTTAATTTTTTGAGCAACTGCCATACGTTTTCCACAGCATCTGTACCATTTTACATTCCCAGAAGCAGTGCACAAAGGTTTCAATTTGTCCATATCCTTGAAAAATCCGTTACTTTGCTTTTTTGATAGTAGCTATTATAATGGGTAGTATCTCATTGTGATTTTGATTTATATTTCCCTAATTATTAATGATTTTGAACATATTTTCATGGAGCTTATTGCACATGAACATATTTTCATGTGCAGTGGCACCATCACAGTTCACTGTAGCCTCAGCCTCCTGGGCTCAAGTGATTCTCCCTCCTTAGCCTCCCGAATAGCTGGGACTACAGGTGTGTGCCACCATACCTAGCTAATTTTTTGATTTTTAATTTGTTTAGAGTCGGGGTCTCACTCTGTCACCCAGATTGGAGTACAGTAGCACGCTTATGGCTACTGTAACCTCGACCTCCTGGGCTCAAGTGATCCTTCAACCTCAGCCTTCCAAGTAGCTGGGACTATGGGCACATGCCACCACAGCTGGGTAATTTTTTTTATTTATTGTAGAGATGAGGTCTTGCCATGTTGGCTCAGGTTGCTCTCCACCTCCTGGGCTCAGGCAATTCTCTCATCTTGGCCTCTCAAAGTGCTGGGATGACAGGCATGAGCCACTGTGCCCGGCCTTATTTTTTGTTTTTGTAGAGATGAGGTCTTGCTATGTTACCCAGGCTGGTCTTGAACTCCTGGACTCAAGCAATCCTCCCACATCAACCTCCCAAAGTGTTGGGATTATAGGCATGATCCATTGCGCCCAGCATGCATGGCTCTTTTACATGGAAAGTTTATATCTAACACTTCATCTATAAAAAAATTACTTCTTATTTACTTATTTATTTATTGGAGTCAGAGGTCTCACTTTGTTGCCCAGACTGCAGTGCAATGGCACAATCACAGCTCACCACAGCCTCAACCTTCCGGGCTCTGGTAATCTTCCCACCTCAGCTTTCCAAGAAGATGGGACTGCAGGTGGGTGCCACCATGCCTGGCTAATTTTTATTTTTTGTAGTGATGAGGTCTCAGTGTGGTACTCAGGCTGGACTCAAGCTCCTGGGCTCAAGCATTCCTCTTACCTTGGCCTCCCAAAGTGCTGGGATTAGAGATGTGAGCCACCACATGCAGCCTAAAAATATGAGTCTTCAAAAACTATTTCTGGCCGGGCTCAGTGGTTCAGCCTGTAATCCCAGCACTTTGGGAGGCCAAGGTGAGTGG